GAGGATCCAGCTATACCACTCCTAGGCATATACCCAGAAGATGCTCGAACATATAACAAGGACATATGCTCAACTATGTTCATAGCAGCCTTATTTATAATAGCCAGGAGCTGGAAAGAACCCAGATGTCCTTCAACTGAGGAATGGACTCAAAAAATGTGGTATATTTACACAATGGAGTATTACTCAGCTATTAAAAACAATGAATTCGAGAGGTTCCTAGGTAAATGGATGGAACTAGAAATTATCATCCTGAGTGAGGTAAGCCAATCACAAAAGAAGACACATGGTATTCACTCACTGATTATTGGATATTAGCCTAGAACCTTGAAATGCCCAAGATGCAACTCACAGGCCACATGAAGCCCATAAAGAAGGAAGACCAAGTGAGGGTGATTCGGTCCTTCTTAGAAGGAGCAACAAAATACTCAAGGGAGCAAATATGGAGACAAAGTGAGGGACAGAAACTGAAGGAGGGGCCGTCTCAAGACCACCCCACCTGAGTATCTATCCCATGTGCAATCACCAAAGGTAGATGCTGATGTGGAAGACAGGAAGTGCATGCTGATAAGAGCCTGATATGGATATCTCCTCAGAGGCCTTCAAGAGTCAGACATATTCAGAGGCAGATGCTCACAACTAGCCATTGAACTGATCATGGGGTTCTCAATAGAGGAGTTAGAGTGAAGACTGAAGGAGTTGAAAGGGTTTGTGGCACCATGAGGAGAGCAACAATACCAACCAACCACAGCTCCCAGGGTCTAAACCACCAGCCTGGGAGCACTTAGGGGGGGATCCAGGGCTTCAGCTGAATATGTAAAAGTGGAGGGCCCTGCTGGGCATAGGTGGAAGAAGAGAACCTTGACCTCATGAAGGCTGGATGCCCCAGGGGGTGGGAATTTTGAGGGTGGGGAGGTGGGAGTGCGGGGGTGTAGATAGAGGTTACATCCACAGAGAAGAAGGAGGAGGGGCGAGGGGATTGGGGGTTCCGAGGGGGTGGTGGGGGATGGGGTAAGGGGACAACATAGGAAATGTAAATAAATCATCCAATAAAAAAAAAAAAGAAAAAAAAAAAAAGAAATGCCAAATGGTGTCAAGTGTGGAGGGCAATGTCAGGGCCCCAAGAGGAGAAAACAATGAGACACATTCAAGAGTCAGAAAGAGTGAGGCCAGAGATTAAGAAGCAAAGGGAACAGGAGCAAGTGGAAGCCAGATCCTAGCAGATGCTTGAAGTCATGGCAATGTATCAGGGCTCACTCTAAATCCATGGGAACGGGTCTTACTAAGCTTCTCAGGGTTTCTCTGTTGCCAGAGTGGAAGTCAGGTGACCACCAGGAAGCTAATGCTCTAGTCTAAGAGGTTTTGGGATGCCTTAGAGTAGTGAGGTCTATGGCAAAAGACACAAGAGATTCAGGATGTATTTGGAAGGAAGTGAAGGGAAAAGAGAGGAACTGATAACTCAAGGATCCTTGACTGGGAGGGGACATGGTCTTTCGTAAAAAATCAGAGAATACCCAAGGAGATGAGGGACAGGTTTGTGTGATGAGCCTACACACAAGGAGAGGAGAGGTGAAGGTACACCTTCATACTCTCCACTTACAAACAAAGAGCAACGGTCTTGAAGGTGAAGTGACTTTAAAAATAATTTTTTTTTAAACAAACTGAGCACTACACACCAGTCTGTCCTCTTTGTTTCTAGCCTAGGTCACTCCCTCATTATTCAGCCCCTCCTCCCCAGACACAGCTCATAGCCTTTCTCAGTGTCTTCCTGGCATGATTTTTTTTCTTAGAAATTTCATTACATATCTTAGTTTTTATCTGCATTATTTTGTTTCTGGAGCCAAATGAACATGATTGAAAATAATGGCTGCATGAAGAAGAGTATTTGAGACTGAGATAACAGGGTAAAATACGAATTTTAATGGCCTCACATAGACCATGTCTTCTAAACATTTATTTCAAAAGGACAAAATACAATAGAGATGTATTTGCATTCCCCAGTATTCATAGGTGACCCCAATGCGTCTCTGAGTTTCTCAGACCCAATGTCTTCCTTTACATATTTTTTATCTTTTTCCCAGAAAGGAATAGACCCACTTGGTTGACCTAATCTGGTAAGAGAAATATGCTAATGGAGACCTCATGAATCCACAAAGCACTTCTGAACTGAGCAGAGCCACCTAATAAAGCTGTAAAAATGTAACCAGCAACAGCCCAGGCTCCTGGCACCACACTGCCAAGATAAGAACCGGACAGGTGGAACACGGAGAAAGACAACCAAAAGTTATAGTGCAAACCCAACAAACACCACTGACAGGACAGTCATTAGTATCTCAGAGCTGTTTCATCTTCTACAAAACACAGATAAAAAGAAGTACGCACCCCATTATAGTGCTCTGGAGATTAAGTCACGTGTGGATAGATGTTGAGCATAAAGGTCCAGTGTGGAGACTGTGGATAGGCTTGCTTTCCCCCTGCCGCCCCCCACCCCCCACCGCTCCTGCCTTGGATCTGAGTGTCAGATGACCCAACAAAACCTGGGCCAAGTCAATGCATGAGTGTGCATGTGTGTGTACAAGTGTGAGCTTGTAAGTATGTATGTATGTCCACAGTCTCTTCAGGGTCTATGTTATTTTTTTCTTAATGCTCTTGATGCCTGTGAGTATGCTGCATTGAGATTGAAATCTGAGGCTATGCATTTGTATTAGGGCCTCGGACAGAAACAAAGGAAACATTCCAAAATCAAGTCTTCCTAAGGAAACTTTCTTTATGGCTGTTACTCAGAGCCCATGGCCTCAAAATGAGTCATACAGCTAAAGAGTATTAGGAAGATGAGATGGAATGCTGGCTTTCCCCTCTAAGACAAGATTACATGTGACAACATGACTGATCTGAAACTCATTATGTAGCCCGACTGGCTTCAAGATCATGGCAATATTTCTGCCTCAGTTTCCTGAGTGCTGGAACTATAGATGTGAGTACTTTGTCCATTATGATATGAACTTTTAGCGGAAATACTATGTTGTCCATCACAGCATCAAGATTTTGCCAGGAAGGAAGAATGGACTTGGGGTAGGATAGTAACAGTATTTGCTGGATAGAAAAAAAAGCAGTAACATTCAAAGAAAATTATGTGTTTTATAATCTTTTTCTTTTTTTATGCTCACAATCTCTTTGGGCTGGTTGAGCCAAGATAATATAAGTCAAAGAAAAGTTCTTAAGCTTAAAAGATTTGCAGAAGCAGGCCACTGTCCCAGAAGCTACTCAAGAATATATTTGTATGAGCCAAGACACATGCTGGTAATTCAAATATTCTGCATTCTGATGCTGTTGAGGTAAATTATGTATCATCTATCTATCTATCTATCTATCTATCTATCTATCTATCTATCATCTATCTTTCTATCTTCTCTCTCTCTCTCTCTCTCTCTCTCTCTCTCTCTCTCTCATATTTTAACATAAAGCCAGCTTATTTCAAATTTCAGTAAGTATGCTGTTATTTTAAATTTGAATTGGACAAGGAAAGGACCCAGTGTTATTTCTACTAAGACAAGATTGAACATGTCTGCATAGTCATATTGAGATGCACAAAGTCTGGGAATAAATATGGTCAAATTATAATGACATGTATGTATGAAGAAGACACTATAGTGAAGCCTGTTATTTGGAAGGGGAAAAGGTTATACACACAGCAGAAAATTGAAATGGTTCCAAACTCCAACTTACAATTATATTTCTCATTGATAAGTTCATATAGATCATGTCATTGATTTTCCTTTCCAGCAAAGAATCAATTATAAAAGACACTTACCTTATTGTACCTTTGCTGAAGTTTGGGATGTCACGTGCTTGGCCACTAGTCAGAACGCAGCACTAGAAAACAACAAAATGTGGTTAACAGATGAACAGGACCCTGGGAAGGTGGTAGGCAATAGTTTTGAGAAAATATTTTGAAGCCACATACAAAAGTTATAGAATTTCCAACTGGAAGTGAATTTACAGGTCATGAGGATGAACCTCCGTGTTACCAGCGATGAGGCCACAGGGATTCAGAAAAGCTAATTCATCTGCCACTCTCAGTAAGTTAAGCGGCTGCCATCCAAGCATGAGGACCTCAGTTAAATCTCTAGAATTTACAGTAAAAAGGCTGGTATGGTGCTGCACATCTGTAATTCCAGAACTTGAAGGTAGACAGGAAAATTTCCAGAGTCTCAGGACAGAGAAAGACAACCTAAGACCTAGGCCTCACCACACATATGAGGCAGATCTGCAGTTTGGTCTTCATGTGGGTCCCAAACAGCTAGAGTGGAGGCTATCTCAAAAGCTGTTGCCCACATATGTTTTTCTGGCTATCTGCCTTGGCTGTCCTCACTGAGAGAGGAAGTAGGAATCGCTTAGCTTTACAGAGACTTGATGCATCAGGTGTGAGGATATCCAAGGCCCCCCACAACCCCCTTGCTCAGAGGAGAAGGGGAGGGAGGTGGAGGGAAGGATTGTGGGAGGGGTGACTGAGAAGGGGCAGTGAGTGGGATGTTAAGTGAATAAGTAAAGGGAAGGTGAGGAGAAAGAAAGAGAAAGAGAAGAACCAAACCCCAGTGAGCTCCTGGTTCCATAGCTCCACCCCTGCCCCTCCCAAAGTCTCCCTAAGGTCAGGCTGGCAAAGAAGGTCACTCACTGCAGAAAGTGAGAAAGACATTTCCATCCCTCCCTTTTCATTCCCCCTTATTTCAAAGGGAAGCCATGTGCTTAATATGCAGGAAAGGCCTGCATTCCACCTTCCCCTACACCGTTCAAGAATGTACTCATGTAATGACCTCATTCATGGAGACAATGAATGTTAAGGAAACCCCTCCACTCCATTCAGGTGTAGTCCTCATTTCAAAGCTCTAGTGCTAGGGCTGGAACCTTAGAGAAGTGACAGAGTTTGCTTTCTGCTGTGATAAACACAACAACCAAAAGCAACCTGGAGCGGAAAAGAGCTTATTTCACTTCAAGGGTGATAGGTCATCATTGAGGGAAGTTGAGGCAGGAACTGAAGAGACTGCAGCACAGCTTACTATCTTGCTTCTGCTGATTAGCTTAGCTACCTTTCTTTTAATCTGAGATTTGTCAAGGATGGCTCATTGCATAGAGGGCTTTTCCCATGTCCCCCATATCAATCAGAAATCAAGAAAATGTCACACAGACATGAGGAGAGTAAATCTGATGGAGGCTACTCCTCAATAGAAATTCCTTCATACACAGTCTAGGTTTGTAACAATTTGACAAAACCTAACCAGCACATGGAGCACTTCTTTTGTTAACTCTATTTCTAATCATTGTGTTTGTATGTCTATGGAGGCTGGAGAACAGCCTGGGAGTTATCCTTAGGACTACTATAAGCCCCAGGGATACATTATTCTCTCTCTCCAGTCCTGGGTTTACAAATATGTACCACCATATCTAGCATCTGATATGGCAAGCACTTTTTCGACTGATCCATCCTGCTGATATCAGCCCAGGAAGCACCACCTTTAAAAGTTAATTAGACAAATGAAAGAGGCACTATGGAAAGGCAATGGGGAAGTGTGCAGATGTGAAGGATGCTCCTGTGGAGATTGGAGGGGAGCTTCAAAGGGAGAAGTAGGGGGGAGCCTACAGTCACATGCACTGGACTGTCTCAGCAAGAAAGAGGGAACTGGGGCAAACTCTGCCAGTGTGGCCAGTGACAATGAAAGCTCAGAGACACATGGCAAACTTTAAGAAGGTTTTCGTAGATAATGGAAAGTGTAACTGATGAGTCAAAAATAGATCTGCATCATATTCATGGAATATGCAAGGAATAGATGGTAAAAGTAAGAAATAATAGGCACTCAAGTCAATTTGAGAACCATTTCTCTCAGAGCATGAGCTATCTGTCATCTGGACACCTGCTTCGGTACGATTAAGGGACTTTCGCCTATTTGTGCCTGAAATCACTTAAGTGCTATGGACCTTCCCTCTCCTGGGAGCACTTGGTTAAGAAGAGCGTGCGACAAAAGGAGCAGCTATAGGGCTGGGCATTCTATGGCATCCATTCATTTGGCACACAGGGAAACTGAGGCTGTGGTGTGGGTGAGACTTAGGTCATCACAGCCTAGACCTTGAATCTAGTTCTGTTTGAGTGCCCTATCTTTGCATTCTTGTGTTTGCTATATAAGCACAAGGACTTTTGCATCATCTCTACAGCAATATATCCTTGGAAATGAGCATCTATCCCTAACCCCACATAAACATTCCCATTCCTTCTAGAGATGTGGTTCAATGACACTTTGGTGGGAGGAGGCAGGCAGTATTTCTCTCTCATCACCATCTAACCAGCAGCATGCGGGCATGCTGATGAGTCCAGGGTTCATTCGTCACTGCTGGTATCTTCATAGGACCGAGCATTGGCATTAAAAGCACATATGGCCATGCTTGGCTTTTCAAGTGGGTACTGAAGACTGAACTCCAGGGCAAGTGCATAGCTAGATGATTCCTTTCATATGCAGGAGAATCACCTCATACTAACCTACCGCATTCCAGAGAACATTTACCGAACCATCAGCCAAAGTTTAGATTTCATTGTTAAAACTGGTTCAGTCTCCCAGAGCAGACTTTGGTCAACAACGTTGTTTAATTTACAACCAGGACTTCTGACATGCTGACATCTTGGGTACAGATTGCTTTGACAAGTCAATACATAGCTATGGGTAATGCAAACTTATGCAAAATTACATTACTATAACAATAACCCATGAGGAATAGATTATGAAAGTATCCGTTGATGTACGTTTCTGTTAACTAATGAATTTGGGAGCAATTTCTGAGGCCGAAGACCCTCAAGTTTCTCCAGTATCAGATACAGCAAAGTATTCATCTTGAAAACTAGTAACAAATGTGCTGTCTTCCATCTTGCCTTCAAAGTCATTTTGTTGCCAATTAATTGTATATGGCATTTACTTGGGAGTAAGCTGTAAATCTTGGACTGTAGAAGATTGGCTTTTGTAAATCCCAGTAACTATTGTTCAGAAGGTTACAGTCTTAGAATATTACTGGTGATGTCAAAGATGACTGTCACAATTATGCAGATAGCTGAACATAGAGCGGCACAATGCTGGGGACAGAAAAATAACCATGGAAAGCAACAAGACAGACTTCTTTCTATGAGACTGCAGACTACTCTTTTGATTGACAACATGTAAGAGTTGCCTGTCCACTACTGAAATAACAGAAGCCGCAGTGAAGCGCAACTCTGAACTTTCAGGATGATAATCTGACAGCATTTATTTCCTTAAAACTTTGCTACATTTATTTTGAGGATATACATTCTCGTATCTCCAGAAAGACACAAAACATCAACTTAGACATACACCCTCCTTTTTTCAATTTAACTGGATGATAAATGAGTCCCCAGCCATCTGATTTAGATAGAATTGAACCTGCTCACAATCTTGAAATAACTGGGCTTAATTAACTAATTTAACTCTTAAATTTGTCTGAAATTAGATCCTGGCCCATTAGGGATAATCAAAATATTCCCATTCCAATTTCAAAGTTTGCTAAACTACTTTATTTGAAGACCAAAATAACAAGAGGTTTGTCAAAATTGAGATTCAAAGTCTTTTTATGGATTCATGATAAATATAGCACCTAAGCTCACAGATTATGCAAGGCCTATCTGCATTACATTTTTGTTGATGCTCACGCAGAAGTCACTCATTCCCTGATCTGTCCCTCATCTCACTTCTTACTGGTCCATTCAGAGTAGGGGAGACAAAGTAATTTATGACATGGCATGGTTGTTTGGTTTTGTGTGTGTGTGTATTTGTGTATGTGTATGTGTGAGTGTGTATGTGTGTGTGTGTGCATGTACACATGTGTGCATGTATGTGTGTATGTGTGCCTTTGTGTGTATGTGTGCATATGTGTGTGTGTGCATATGTGTGTGTATGTGTCTATGTATGTATGCATATGGAAGTCAGAGCTCTACTTTGAGTTCTGTCTCTCAGATGTCACTCCACTTGTGCTTTTGACACAGGATCTCTCATTGGGACCTGGGGCTTACTGACTAGGCTAGACTGGCTGGCCATCAAACTCTAGGGATCCTCCTATTCCTACTTCTCTTGCTCTGGAATTAAAATGGAATGCCACAATACAGGCTTTTCACATGGGTGCCAAGGATGGAACTCAGGCCCCCAGGCTTCTGCTCTGCTCATTACCAATTGAGCTATCTCCTCATTCTTAAAACAGTTCTTTAAATAAAATGACCTCATCGTATATAAGAGAACCCAAACAGCAGCAAGTCAAAGGAGTTGGGAGAGTAAGTGTTGGTCATTATGTTCAATTGGTAAATGAAATCCACAGGTCCAATAAAGATCCAATAACTGTCCCAAAGCATTGTCCAGTAAATAAATGGAATGGCTGGCTGGCAGGCAGGCAGGCAGGCAAGCATGGTGCCCTGTCCCTTCTTTAAAAATTAGATATCATCCGAGTCATAGGAACAACCACAACAAATATTTACCGAAATCTTGTCTTGCTTTGTTTTCTGCTGCTGTGATAGACACAGGAAACTTGAGAAGGGAAGGAGGTACTTGGCTTAAGGTTACCATCCATAATTATGGGAATTAAAGACAGACTCTTGGTGCAGGAAACTGTAGTCAAGAACTGAAGTAGAGACCATATTGGAATGCTGGTTACTGACTTGCTCAGCTACCAGCTACCATTGTTATGCAGCCCTGGTCCATTTGCCTAGGGATAGTTCTTCCCACAGTGGGCTGGGCCCTCTTGCTCCCATAGCAAATGCTTAGATTTCAGGTGACATAACAAACACTTTAACCGTTTAATGAGGTAGCACAGGACCATATAAAATCAAAGTATAGACCAAGCTTGTTGGTTTCAGCAGGCAATTAAATGTTACATCCATTTGTCACATATACTAAAAGATGCAAGAAGAACTGAAGAAGAGGAAACTTGGCATAAAATGAACACACCTAATATCTAGTCATCCCATTTATTATTCAATTCTACTGTGTACAAATATCAAATATTAGTTTCAGTTTTGATTTCTTTTAATCATAAAGCTCGAGAAAATTAAAACTGAAAATACATATTAGCTCAATTCTTACAGATTATGAATTCCAACTTTTGTACACAATTTTTGTAAGTTTAAAATGAAATCTGAATTTGAAGTAGGCTATAGCTGAAGACAAAGCAGATGTTTGTTCACATTTTCCCATTTACTGACATTTTTCAGTATAAGGTAAAAAGGCAACACCCTCAAACTCCAGCTCCGTTTATTAAGGTAAAGTAGATCTCAGTATAAGATTTTTTCATACTCTACCAGCTCCTTTTACAGTGATTGTTTCTAAGTAACTTTTATTTTTAATACATGATTCTGTATGTGAGTGTGCATGCTTGTCTGTTAGTGTGCACACGCGAGTGTAGTTGTCCATGGATCTCAGAAGTACCAGATCCCTTGGAGTTGAAGTTACAGGAGGTTGCAAATTGCTTGACATAGGCGCTAGGACCCAAACTCAGGATCTCTGCCAGAACACCAAGTACTCTTAACCCCTCAGCCATTTCTCTAGCTCCTATAATGGCGAATTTAAAGATAATTCATAGCGGTGAATTTACTATGGGGCCTCCATCTGGGACATAATTGGGCAAAGGAGTTATCTGTTTTGTGTTAGACTTATCATGACATTTTTGAACCTTGTGAGGTATGTTGGTAAAAGTGGCTAGTTAGTGTCACTGGTACAGATGAGGTGAGTTAAAGAGGCAAGGTGGATTTAAACAATTTCACCTTTCCTCTTGTACCATAAAAGGGAAGTTTTCTATTTATTGGCTCCTGTTGTGACTTGAAATGTTCCATCACATGTAAGCCTAGAAGACAAGTTTATTTTATAATTAGCAGCAACCTGCACAGACAGACAGAGAGAGGCCCATCCATTGTTCTGCCCGTGTGTGTGCTCTTGAACCTTGATTCCTACAAGTCGTAATTCCAAGCTACCCAACTCAGAAGCAGAATTTGAAAAGTGGCACACTAAAGAAAAGTAATACAATAATTTTTTACTTTTAGTTTTTTTACTTTTCAAAAAATCACAAATGCCATTCAAAAGAAAAACATAGATGGTCTTTGTTTCTTCTACTCTCCGTCTTCCTGGTATTAACTGTTTGATATCTGTCATTCCTTGTGCCCCCCTTTCTTTGAAATACACCCATCTGCTTCACAGTATCCATGCCACATAGATGTCTATTCATTTCCCCTTCACACTGAATAATAGGTGAGTCTTTTAAATCAACATACATGTATCTCATGTAGGATTCATATGAGAATTGATCTACGTCACTCAGTTGGTTCTTTTGTAAAGTTGTTTCTTCTGATGATTATTGGTATAGTATAATAATCCTTATGTACATAGGCATACTTATTTTAGTTATATATTCCCATAGCAGTGATTCATGAGTTATGGAATATTAACATTTAAAACTTGGCTATTTTATTTTCCCTTTCCTCAGCATAATTGGATAGTATCCTTATTCATCTATCTACAGTGCTACATTTGTCAATTTGTACAGATAGTTACATTTATGACTGTGTTTATGGCTATATACCCATCTCTATGTGTATGAATTCTCACCGATACACTTTCATTACCCTTGGGGTTCCAAGGACTTTCATGCTGAGAGCCGATTGGGAATAAAATTTATCTAGATTAATTACTATGCTGCAAAGAATAAGGAGATAATTTTCAAAAAAGTATATGCAGTAAAAATAAAAATAGTAGCTATACTTCAGAGAAATGATTATAAAAGAGTTATTGTCTTAGAGAGAGAAAAACTACAAAATGCACCTTTTAGTGAGTCACCCTACGAGGAAAGACATTCCAACCTTAAAAGTCAATGCTATTATTTCTTCCATGAAACCATAACTAAAAAATTTTCAGCCCTGCTAATAGTTTCCTGTAATCTTTAAAAGCTAAAAAAAAAAGTAACAAAAGAAATGCACCAGTCCTAAAACTGCTTAATTTTATAAAATGGGCTGTATCTTTAAAAGGCTGCTTTTCAGCAGACACGGGTGAGCTCGGGGTTGGAAATGTTAACCACCCTTTTCTTCAGGTGACCTTTCTCAAGTCCTTCTCCAGGTGGCTTTAATTACAGTCTGTAAATCGCAGCCTGCTCTGAGTGCCTCTCCTCAGAGTTTCTCTGGCTAAGTCATAGCATGAATATGAAAGTCCAGGAATAAATGCCATTTTTTTTTCAGCAGTTTTGAAGAGCTGACCAAGTCATGATGTTTACAAGGGTCAAAGAATGGAGGAAGGAAACGTTCCTGGGGATTAGATTCTTATAAAGGACGTTACCTTGGATGCTTCCAGAAGGAGCTAAAGAACCATCTTACAGGATCAAGGGGGACATTTACCCCTCCAGGTCATTGCTGTACAATGGAACGGCCAGACTCAACCCCAGCACTTTGGAATTATCTAGAAGACAGAGAAGAATGAGTAGTGTTTGTTCCAGTTTCAAGTCAGTAGGCAGATTTACTCTTAAACAAGCAAATGAAGGTATTTTTCTGCTTGGTATCCAAGACTGGCTTCTTTGGAGATGTTTCCTTTTTTATTTTTTCATTCTTTAATCTTCAAAGTCTTTTTAAAAAAGGTTTTCCCAGACATCATAAACGCCATACTAGGCACTAGATTTTTAAAAATATGTTCTTACCAACTTTCTGAAATTAAAAGCACATAAACACATCTATAATATTTTAAATCTTAATAACACAAATGTTAAATGCAAACTATCATATGCAAAATAGACTAGAAACCTCAGAGTCAAGTATTAAACCTCACTGTAGATGATCACTGGGACTGGAGTGGGCACTCCAATGAGCCAAGAAGTTAATTTCAGCTTTAAACATACATAAATACATACACATACATACACATAATACACATAAACACATACACACATGCCACACAAACAAATGCATATTTATATGTATATATAAACTCTGAGGAAAGATAGGTTTAAATTGAGGAGCATGTTCTGAAATAAACAGCTCAGCTCAGCTCCTTACCATTCCAGGGTTCATATTCAACCAGATGAAACATTTAGGGTATAGTTACTTTGAGTCCAGTTTCAAGAGTAAACCAAGTTACTTCTGTTCCAGACAAGAAAAGTTACTGTGAGATGAGCCAACACTGTCCTGAGAATGCACAGACTGAGTTCCTTGGCCACACTACCACCAACTGTGCACAGACAAAGTCTTATTCTTAGTTATTTTTATTTATGTGTCTCTGTGTGCATGTCATGTGTGGGTGAGTACCCGTGGAAGACAGAAGAAGCATCAGATCCCTTGCAACAGGAGTTGCAGGCTGCCTGGCATGGGTGCTCATAATTGCCCTTGGCTCCTCTGCAAGAGCCATAATGATCGTCATCCCTTAATTGAAACAAAATGAAGCTGTCTGTTTTTAAACTGCTCTGTCAGGCATTTGTCACACAGCTCTCACTTTGGTTAACATTGAGTTTATCACCTTCCTCATGATTAAATGCTATCCCTACTGATGTATTTGTGCATCTATTACTTTTATAAGCACCTATGTGCCCACATGTGCCTTTTCAAGTGCACTGCTGCCCAGATGGACAAACAACCCAAACCAGAGGAAATGGTAAAGTCAAGTCTGGCACTTTTAGCTGCAGTACTTCTTTGGTACACTGTAGATAAGAAAATTTCTTACAAACAGTTAATAAAAAGAAAGGAAACACCCATGGATGCTGAAGATTCATAAATGACTGCATAGCGAGATGCTTAGGGATATGTCTGAGATGATGGTAATGATAGACTATAGAAGGAATGGTCAGTGGTATTCTAGACGCAAGAGAAGCCTCCATGGGGCTTTACAGTGGTCCCCTTAGTTACAAATCGTCACTGATTATCTTACCATTGTATCAGAAAAGTGACGGAAACTAGTTCTGGAACTGTTCATTGTGTAATGTGATGCATATACTTATACTTACTTAAAAACTCTGAGGTTGGGGAGATGGCTCAGTGGATAAAGCGCTTGCTGCACAAGGATGAGGACCTGAGTTTAAATCCTCAGATCCCAAGTAAATCTGAATGCAGTGGTGAATGCAGCTATAATACTGAAATCCCAGCAGCCATAAAGTGAGATCTGGGAGCAGAGATAGGCAAACCCCTGAAAGCTGTAGGGCAGCTAACCTGGCCTATGAAGTAGAGAACAAGAGATCTCATCTCTAAAGAAGTAGAAAGTGATGACTGATATCCAAGGTTGTCATCCTTTGGCACCCACATTTATGTAGTGAAATACACATGCCTCCCTGCCACAGACAATATACATATGTACAACTAGAGAAGTTTTAAAGTCATGCTGTACGTTCAAATTTTTCTTACTGTTTCATCATCTTTATCAAAATTAACTCTTGCAGGAATTGTGTAAAGCCATTGAGATTGATTTGGACATCTGGCCAACATGACAGGGTTTAGGAGGCAAAATCTGCAATCACATGAAATTCCATAGATGTTCACGACCTTTCCTAGATTCCTAAAACTCTGTAGTATGCTAAAAAGGAATTCGATGCTTAAATAAATTTAAGAGCCACTGGGTTTATTTCCATACTGGGTTTATCCATGCTCACAGCAGGAATGTGTGAACTGAGATATGGAACATGGCTTTCCTGAAGGGATGTCTGTTCTGACACCTGGTTCCCCAAACCTTGTTTGAATGGCTCCCGTGTTCTTAGGAAAGACAGGACAAATGTTGATTGGCTTAGCAGCACAGGAGTAACTGTCTCTGCTCTAGTACAGAAAAAATAAAACTACCCACTCACAGTCTAACCTAGATGGTAATGAATTACCTTTCAAGTCTGCATCAGTATTTTTACCAAGTTCATGGACTCTGTAACGAAAAGTAAACTATCTCCCTGAAAAGGGACTATTGAATACGGGCTGAACAGCAGCAGCAGCAGGAGCAACAACAACAACAACATGAACATAAACATAAACAACAACAGTAGCAACAGCAAAACAACCAATCTGGGGTTTGAAAAGAATCCAACAACTTTGTTTGGAAATGCATGCTTTCAAATACCATGGTTTGAATTGCAACCTTGACATTCTTAGACACACTCTTAAAAATTCTAATGAGTCCCTGAGACTGTATTTTGTCAAAACTTCAACCTCTTAAATATTTGGAAAGGTCACTTTGAAGATGATGAATTAATAATTTTTACAATTTCAATTGTATAGGTGTTCTCAGGAAATATAACACCACTGGCAGTGTAAATGTGACGCTTAATCAGATTCCCTGAAGATTTTCCTGTTAAATAATCTTTCAGAAAACGTTCAAGTGGCATGAGTTAGTCTGGTGTTTTCATGTTGGCTTTAATAATACTTTTGATTGGAGAATGGTTAACACACATACTCATGGATATTGGACTACCAGCTGTCAAGGACACCCCGGATCTGTGCGGCAAATGCACAGAGCCAGAAGTTTCTTAAGAGATACCCTCCAAGAAAATCTTAAAGAAAGGTTATGTAAGATATCCAGTGCATTATGTTAAGGAATGGACAAAATGGAAAAACCCAGGTCTAAAGTTCTTTTAGCAACTTCCTAATGTTATAATATAAAAAATATCTACACAAAATAAGATGGGTGTCAGGGATTATACAGCAATCACAGCCCCTGGAAGACTGAGGCAGGAGGATTACTATAAGTTTAAGGATACCTTGGACTTCATGGTGAATTCTACATTAGCCTTTATTAGTGAGTCAGATCCTGGTCCTACCTACATTAATATTAAGGGACACATAGGAAATCTAATTGAACCTTGTTGGGAGCTGACTCTGAGCAGAATGCAGCTATCATCTTTGCAGCCATCTTGAGCCATATACCCCGACAAGAGACTTGTTTTCAACAGCCTACGACAGCTGAACACACTCTGATAATTATCTTGATATACCCATGATTTCCTTTCAATCAAGGCCAGGCAGTTGTGGCACACGCCTTTAATCCCAGCACTCAAGGCGAGACTCAAGGCGAGACTTGAGGAGAGATATAAAAGGAGAGACTTGAGGAGAGAACAGAGCCGACTCTGTCTCGTCTCCAGAGCAGACTCTGTCTCATTTCCATTCTTCGCATCTCCACCCCCTCTCTCTCTCTTGCTAGACCCTGACCCGCAGACCGGAGCAGCAGAACAGGCCATTACAGAACCTAATATGTTAATATGTTGATTGATCATATTTTAAAAGGTCACATAGTCAATATGCAGTGAAACTGTTAATAGTGGTAGTTATAAGTTGGTATTTATTCATTTATTTAGGATACTTCTATCTCTGAAATTATCCCTAATGCATATCCATTGGTATTAAATAACACATGTAAAAAAACATGCAGAGGCAAAATGATGATGAAAGATCAGGAAGAAGGGAGAAATGGGGAGTCTGAGCTGGGCTTGCAGCTCCATTTTTAAATGTTGTTTTCAGAGTGCAGCAAAGAAGGACTCTGGCCACCCAGAGTCCTGTAAGAAACATGCTTTGCATGCAGTGTTAAAGGTCCACTTGCACTTTGGTGTCAATTTATGGTACCGATTTGTGATATCATTTCTGTCAGCACTATGGTGATGGAGACAGAGACCTGTAATCAGACATGACGTGCCATTTTTCTTCTCTGCTTAAGATATGTGGGCTTTCTTCAGGTACCTGGTAAATGTACAGATTAAATTCTGGACATACCTATGGGAGTTGCATACTGCCTGTGTGTTTGGCTGAGTAATAAATGCAGGGGCTGGGAGACAGTGGTTCAGTGGTTTGAGTGTGTACCATGTAGGTGTGATTAGTAGGGTTCAGAGCTCCAGAACTCACTTAAATATTGTATAAGTGTAGTGTCTCATGTGCAAGTACAGTCTCAGAAGGCAGAGACTGTTGACTCTCAGAGCAAGCTAGCTACCAAGACAAGCCATGTCTGCTAACTCAGTTAGATTGAGAGACCCTGCCTCAGTGAATACAGTGGAAAAGCAATGGAGGATGATTCCTGACATCAACCACCTCAGATTCAAAATTCAAAACACATGTGCACCAATACTCATGCATACACACACACACACACACACACACACACACACACACACATACACACACACTGCACACATATATCCGGACACAAATCCATGCAACACACGCCAATATATTGTAATAGACTCGCCTCCTGCCTATTGTTCTAAAACAGGGACTAAAGGTTCCCTATGGCTCTAGTATTAAACGGACCTTTAACACTGCATACAAAGCATGTTTCTTATAGGACTCCGGATGGCCAGAGTCCTTCTGTAATTCATTTCTGCATAAGCGACTCTCAGGGACTAGTCAGGGAAGAACCTTTTTCTTGACTGTCAGATGCCAGTCTGTTTTCTCTTAGAAGGACCTACCTGTGTCTTAGATTTTGACAAGTTCCAGTATCTCCAAAGGTCTCAC